TGAAACGTATTTTAAATTCCTAAAACGAATATACTAAGAAAGTTCGGTCTGCGTCCTAATATAATACACCTACTTTTGCTCGGTAACAGGCAGTAATCTCACATAAAGTTAGTTTTTCTTCTGCTCATGGTGGTTCTGCAGGTTCAAACAGGCCGTTACAGTTCTAGATCAACGTCACTCCCAAATGAAATTAATCGGTCGACGACGGACTGAAACTAACCTAAAGTTAAAAAAAAATGAGTGTGTACCTGAATTTGGGCAAAAATCAACCTAAAATACTTTGTTTCCGCAATTTTATTTATTAGTTCCCGCCCTACATTTGAATTCAAACTTGTCCCGATTTCGCCGCCAATCCTCTAGCGAATAGTAGAGGTGATTGAAAAGAAGCTCTAGAAGCTTCATGTTTTGCTTTTAGTACTCCGTCTTTATGTCTTTGGAGAAACGTCATCAGAGTAACAAGGACAGCCAATTGTATAGAACCCGAGACCGTAGTCGAAAGAATCAATGCTGGCTATGACGTCACGACTAAATGAGTCCATCTAGACTTTTTGTTCCAAACCTACATGACATCTTTTAACTGGCAGCTCTATACCGGGCCGAACTATCTCTAGACCGTTTTTGTGTTACGTCACAAAACTCAAAAAATTTGGTAAAATAACAGTTTTCTTGCAAAAATGAGATGATATAAACTCCAAAAAACCCAAAAACTTGGGTAAAGAGACTCCGGGCAAGTCATCATCCTCTTGCCAAGAACCTCCAAAAGCTCTTCTTTGTTCCCCTCTTCTGTGGAAAAAGAAAATATCATACTACGACAGTTTCCATTTCTGTCATAGAGTACCCCAAGCGGACCATAGAACGGAACTCTTAGTCTTTTACACATTTACCGATTTAACAAAATCTCCAGGAGGTCACAGACAGGCTGGCAGCCCCTCATCGGACCAAAACGCAACCGTACCATTTTTTCCTTGTAGGTATGTGTCTCCAAAGTACATGAAATGACTCCTTGAGGGGCGGGCAAGTTTGATTGAAATTCACGTTGTCTTCTGAAAATGAGCTAAAATTTTTACCTTGAAGAAGAAGAAAATCGAGTTATCATTTTCTTCCATACACGGTAGGTATGCCTATGAGAGGCACCAGGAACGCCTTCCAAAATTATTGATGCAACCCGCACGACTCCGAAGTCAGCGGAAACTTTCTTGAAGCGTCTCCTAAGATTTTCCCCACGCAATAATCCCCTTCAAAAATGATTTCGAGATATATTGCGATTTTATAGAGTACCTTCATAGACAGAGTATGGCCATTTCTGTTCCTGTTTTTCATTGGTCGCGAGCGAATAGGCTGACACGATGCTCTTAGGGCCGAAAATAAACAAACAAGATGGCTGTTATCAGCAAGCAAGATTGAGGGTATGCACATCTTACTTCCTCCTGTGATAAAGGTGATAGGCGATTTAACAATGTTTTCGTGTTTTTTTCGTGTGTTATTCGTAGATATGCTAGTTTAAATTGTTACTGCCGTATAATTGAAATTTTTGTCAAATTTAGCTTCTTATCGATGTTACGGTGAGTCGCCATCTTGTTTGTTTATATACGGCCCTAAGAGCATCATGAAGCCTAAAAACTCGTTGACCAATCAAAAAGCGGAACAGTTTTCCTGTAGTAAAAAGATACGAATGACCATACTCTGTCTATAAAGGTACTCTAGCGATTTTAGACCTGGTGTCCTAACCAGGATTTGGTCGGTTCGATTTACGTGGGATTTCCCCTAAGGAATGGAAAGTCAATTTTCAAACGCTGATTCTGGGTAGTTTCATACAGTTTCTGCCGGATTTTCTTGCGATTATAAGTTCTATATATCCTCAAATGTACGTTTCTATCTGATAAATCCCCAATATTACATCGGATAAATTAGTCATACTTAATTGATCGAAGAAAGTCCCGAAACTGAGTTTATGTTATACATTTAGGTACATACATACATTACATTCTTACATTCCCTTTATTTACATTCTTTTCTGGGACTCGGAGGAATATTATTTATTCGTCTTTATGAAAAAGGACGAAACATTGGTAGATTGAAAATACCTTACTGAGTTCATAATCATTATTTAAATCTCTAGGTCGCATTATTGCGACGGTATACATGGTATACGACGGTATACGGTGTGTGTGGCGACATCATGTGGGGAATGGGGGATAAGTAAAACTGTAGTTGGACAACCCGCTCTCCGCCATGGATACTTACCTTTCTCTAGATGTTAAGTATTAAAAGATTCTAATGAATGCCTAATACCTTAATATACCTTTACTGAGCTTATGCCAATAAGTGCCTGTCAATGTCAGTGTTCGAGAAGTCTAATGTTATTGGTGAAGTACCTTCAAAATCGCATCGACATCGATAGGATTAAGCGGAGGCTACAGCTTTGGAATCGCACATTTTAAACCACCAAATTTTTTGTTAACAAAGTGTTAATTTCAGTGCAGTGGCTGTTTGTTGAAAAACTAAGGCCAAAGACTTTATAGAGGGCGCAATAAGCTCCTTAAAAAAAACAAAAAAAAAAAAAAACAAAAAAAAAACAAACCTCTCCACAGCGTCATTGAATGCTAACAGTTAATACCAGGAACATAGTGTCAGCTCGCCTCTACAGGTATCAACTGAAATTGATTTAAACAAAACTGCCTATGGATTGGAATGTTTATTGGGAAAAATTATGGATAATATGAAACAAAACTGAGTGATTTATGGCAGGAACAAATAAAGCGCAACACTTAAGGAGAGAGAAAACAAATATTGGTGTCCACTATTCAACTAATCAGTTGCGGATGTTAAGGTTTTGTCATTATGGATAGAATCTATGAAAAACACTAACGTGAGAGACGCGCAGAATTGTTTTTTTCATAAATTGGTGATGAACTGAGTCCAAAATTAGAATGTAAATAAAGGGGTAACATAACCTCACTTTCGGGACTTGCTTCGATACATTGAGTAAAATTTATTTCTCCAATGCGATATTTAGGATTCACCAGATAGAAATGTACGTCTGAGGATATATAGAACTCATAATCGCAAGAAAATCCGGCAAAAACTGTCAGAAACTATCCAAAATCAGGAATTGAAAATTTACTTTCCGTTCCTTATGGAAAATACCATGTAAATCGAACCGACCGAACACCGGTTAGGGCATTAGGCCCAAGATCGCGATATATCTCGAAATCTGACGTCATCACTAAAACGGTCTCTTCTTGTGAGATACACGAAACCTTTATGAGGTGGGTGACAGTCGGTTAAAGTTTGGTATCTGTTTGCTGATTTTTTATCTCCACAGGACCAAAAAAAAAAAAAAAATCTAGACCACTTTGATGACACTGAACGTACCTACTAGTTTAGATGAGGCATTCTGAGGACCACTTTGATGACACTGAACGTACCTACTAGTTTAGATGAGGCATTCTGAGCACCAGTAAGTTCATATACACAATTTGTATTTAAAAGTGATCTTTTTAGCGCTTTAATCGGTATTCATGGTGCAGGAAGAAACGGTAGCCACGCATTTTTGACAATTGCGACGCAATTTTGTTTGTTCATCGCTCGTCTTGTTAGTTTTATGAGTGTTATTTTAGTCTATGACGTGGTGTTGTCATACTTTATTCGGAAATAGCTCACGAAACCTGCTAAACATTCTAAAAATTATATTGTTAAACTTGCTCTTTGGGGTGGTACCTACGTGATAATATATGAAATTCGAGGGATGTATTTATTGCTCACGGGGGCCCACCAAATTTCCGGAAAACTGAATATCAGCAAAAGACAAAAATCAAAAATCGAAATTCGTCGAACTTTTTGATGTGCTTCAAACACATCGTAAGGAGTGTGTTTGACTCAATCCGTTTTCTTAGTAAAAGATGAACGTGATTGGGAAAATCAATATTTGCTTCGAAACTGCTATTATCAGTAGGTAGGTAGGTAAGTTAATTTCTCAAATTTGCATTCGTGAATGAATAGGTATCGGCACCTCGAAAGCGCTCCAATTTGGTTTTATTTCAGAAAAAAGGCCTCCTTGGGTTTAACGAAAGTACGAGTAGGTACTTTCACTGGCCGCGAGGCAAATATTTCAATCATGCACAATTACGAGGTAAAATAACCAAAAAACGCTAAAATCAGGGATGAAATTCGCTTGATTTGGAATCTCAGGAAACTACAATTTTTGGCTGCAATTTGTATCAATTTTTTTGCATTGTTGTTGTATTTTGTATTCTCTATCGTTTGTACTCTTGAAAGGTATTCCAACTATCCGCAAAGGGTGTAGAGCAAAAATTACAATTTGACATACCTACTTCAATGGATAGTGTCAGGCAAACTAGTCATAGGTAGAGTCGTAGAGTGGACTGAATGATAAAACGATACCTAAATATTATTGTTCAACTGTGTTTTATTCAACTGCGTTTTATTCAACTGTGTTTTAAGTTGTGTACTTACCTGGCTCTTAGCTTAGGGCGAATCTTCAGCACATTGGATAACGAATAGACAGTCAACCGATATTAATTGATCCTCTCTGGAATTTAGAACATTTCCTCTAAATTTCTCCAAGCATCACATTACGCTTTAGTCTGCCTGATATCCGTAGCTAAATCAAACTCAAAGACAAATTTATTTTATTGTATTATAAAAATTCAGAAAATATCAATTGATCAATCGACTATTTAGTCGTTTTCTGAAGTGCTGAAGATTGGATGAAAAAAGGTGGAAAATACCCCGAGTAAGTGGCCATATATTATAGAAAAGCTATTCCTAAACAAGTAAGCGTTTCTTGACTCGAGCACTTGAAGTAGTTTTTACCAAAAATACTTAAATAAGCTCTGAGAGAGTTTTGACGCGCGCCACTTTCCTTATTTATTATAATTCTGGGGCTTTGCTCCTTCAGAAACCACATTGCACCTTTTTCCTCAAGGAATTACGCACCTGAAGTTTCACACCAGCATAAAAGCACTTACTGTTTTTAGGTCGAGATCTGTGGGTAATGGTAGTGTCAGCCTCACCGTATGAGCACATGATCGGGAAACCTGATGTCAAATATGTTGCAAATATGCATGGAAACGAAGCAGTTGGACGTGAGCTTATGCTTCATTTGATTCAGGTAAACCCCGTTTCTCAGAACACGTGGCCTTAACGTACACTTCACCTTCAAGGAAGTGTTTTTCCCATCTCTCTTTTTCTCTCTCTCTCTCTCCCTCTCCCCCCCTCTCTCTCTCTCTCCATTTCTTTCTTTCTCTCTTTCTCGAGGTGTAAATGGCCCTAGATGCTAAAGCTACGCTTTGAAATAAACTTATCTTACTACTACTTTCTTTCCTTCCTTCCTTCCTTCCTTCCTTCCTTCCTTCCTTCCTTCCTTCCTTCCTCCCTTCCTCCCTTCCTCCCTTCCTCCCTTCCTCCCTTCCTCCCTTCCTCCCTTCCTCCCTTCCTCCCTTCCTCCCTTCCTCCCTTCCT